GGGAGAAAAGATGAGAAGAAGGATTTGTGTCCTTGAAACAGTCGTGGCATGAGCTCTGCCTGGCCGGAGAGCCTCACTCAGCTCAGAGCTGCGGCGATTCTTGTATTCCCGGCTTTGATATTAATGAAGATCGATCTTCTTGCAAAAAAAAAAAAAAAAGAAGAAATTCTTTACCTAGTTTAAAAATAAAAATAAAAATAAAAATAAAAATAAAATATTACAAATAGTTTTGTTTTTTTTTTCCGGGCCTGGCTGGGCAAGTGGTCCTGGGCCACTCTGGTAGCCTAGATAATGATAATAAAAGGACCTGAAAGGCCATCGTCTCCAGATTTGACAGGTGAAAAAAAAAAAAAAAAAAAGAAGTTCGAGAAAAAAAAGAAAAAGGGGAAAAAAGGCTTGATAAACAGACAATAATGCGACGAATGAGCCCCCGCGGGCCCCTTATCAGACATACATGTGTTCTGAGCCACGGCCCCAAGCAAGCCTGTGCCCGCCCTAAGTGAAGGCGGGCCTGAATATCCATGAGAGGCCTGTTTTGGACGTTTTTCCATAGGTGGGGATTCAGACAGCTGCAGCACACCAGTTGGTTACAGAGCAAGGTGAGCCTCCAGGATCCTTCCAGAACAAAGGGGCTGCGCTATACATTTGAGCCCAGGGCTCAGGTGGTTGCGCCCTGGGGACATGCTGTGTGAGGCCGACACCTTACGGACTGGCCGCGGGGCGGCGCGGGCCAATGAAAGAGCAGCATTGCCGTCACACATGAGTCAAGAGCCAATGAAAAAGCTGTGTGGCTGCCCAAACGTGCCTAACTGCACTGGGCCCAGTCTGCACAGTCCAGTATTGGAAACTGGGCCTGGGCGCGGACACTTGGGGCCAAAGGCAAGCTACTGGGCCCCCCCACACGCCTGGCCAGGCCAGCCGGACACGGGCACACTTTCCATAAAGGAAAGTGTCTGCCCCAGCGCTGGGGAATTCTGGCCTGTGCAGGCATCGCAGCCACGCTGCTGCATTGCTCTGCAAAGCAGCCGAAGCTGCGCTACGCGGGCAGGCTGGGGCGTGCGAGGGCGCTTAGCGGTGAGGGCATGACAATGGAAAGCTCCCGTGAACTGGCGGCCAGTTTAAGTCCTGCATAAGCGAGCGAGCGATACTACCGAAGGGGGTTATATGCTACTTGGGGTGAAGTGTGCGGTGATTGCCAGGGTCCGTGTGGTGTTGCGTGTGGTGTGTGTTGAGTGTGGACACTACAGCCTTGTGTTGCGTGTGGTGTGTTGAGTGTGGACACTACAGCCTTGCAGGGGTGGGGGGGATATCACGCCCGGTATGGTTTCACTTTTGGACATTGTGTCCTGGCTGTAGTGGTTACGATACTTGGGTCTTGAGGCCGAGGTCGTCGGTTCGAGTCCGTGCTTGCACGGAGGAGGGATGAGGCCCCGAGGTACTGATCAAATGACATGATATTACCCAGCTTCGGTTTATTCTAAGGAAACCAGCAGGTTAAACCCCCATGGGTTATATTCTAATTTCTAAGGCACGTTAGGAAAAAAAAAAAAAAAAAAAAAGATTAAAAAAAAAACGAGTAAAAGAAAAAATCTGACTTTTTAAGGGCAAGTGCTAAATTGACTAGAACACCTGGGGATCAGCAAGTCTCACTAGCACAATGCCTACCG